GGACCACAGGCGCCCGCCACAACGCCCGGCTATTTTTTGGTTGCAGCCGTCCTTGTTGTTTGGCGGGTCCCGGCTGGGGATTCGAACCCTCCACCTTAGGTGTACATGGCTGGTGCCTTAGCCGGTTGAGCTATAGGTGCCGAGCCTAATTATTGTTTTATGATTTTTAAATACTTGCCTTATTTGAATGTTTAGCAGTACCCTCTTCCTACTTATATATTATGTGATATAATTTTGCTTGCCTAGAGGAGTTTAAAAATTTTCCATGTGAAATACTCTGACTTATACATGTAACTTACATAACTCTTAAGAGTAACAATCCGATTTAATAAATGGCTCATTTTAAAAGTTAAAAAAAAAGAAACCAATATATGATCACCTATGCATTCATACAAATGATAAAACACAAGTGGAAGGAAGGAAGGGGGGAGGGAGAGAGGAAGAAGGATATTGGGTGGGACCTCACCTATTGTGCACAATGTAATGGTACGTTACAAATCTATTAAGAGTAGAGTATAAATATCTGACCACAACAAATAAGTAAATGAGGTGATGGTTATGTTAATCAGTTTGATGTAAGTATTCCATATCATATATTAAATCAGCACACTGTACTTCATAAATGTACATAGTTATGATTTAATTTAAAAAGGGAAGAACTTAAATGTTTAGCTAGGAAATAACATTTTTATTTTGTAAATAAGTATGTGCCATAAAAGGTTTTTGACAGAGATTATGCAATCAGGGTAATGCTTTGGACAGTTTAACTGGAGACATTTATTGAGTGTTGTTTATATGCCAGGTTCTGTGCAATTATTTAATATCTATAATATAGATACATGTTGTGAGTATAGTAGGACTTTAGTAGAATGTTCATAAATCTGCTAGAGAAGTCACAAAATAAAAAATGTTGTAGGCAGTGCCCGTAGCTCAATGGTTAGGGCACCAGCCACATACACCGAGGCTGGCAGATCCGAACATGACCTGGGCCAGCTAAAAACAACAATGACAACTGTAACAAAAAAAAATAACTGGGCATTCTGGCAGGTGCCTGTAATCCCAGCTACTTGGAAGGTTGAGGCAAGAGAATCGCTTAAGCCCAAGAGTTTGAGGTTGCTATGAGCTGTGACACAACGGCACTCTACCCAAGGCATCAGCTTGAGACTCTGTCTCAAAAAAAAAAAAGAAAGAAAGAAAGAAAGGTTTGAGAGGCCTAAGGGATAAATAGAAATTTCCAAACAGACAAATCTGAGAAGGGAATTTCAGGCAGAAGGTACATTGTACAAAGACTCCCCAGTTTAAGAACATTGTGGGTTTGGAGGAACCACAAGTAATTAACTATTGTTGTGCACTGGTAAGGATTAGTTTCCTAGGGCTGCTGTAACAAAGTACTACCTACTGGGTGATTTAAGACAACAGAAATTTATTCTCTTACATCTGGTAGCAAAAAGCTTGAAATGAAGGTGTTGACAGGTCTTTGCATTCCTTGCAAAGGCTTTACAGGAAAATTCTTCCTTATCTCATTAAGCTTCTGGTGGCCCTAGGCATTTCTTGGTTTGTAGCTACACTAATCTCTGCCTCTATCTTCACCTGGCCTTCCCTGTGTGTCTCTGTGCGTCTTCTCCTCTTGTAAGGACACCTGTTATTGGATTTAGGGCCCACCATAATCTAGTTTGCCCTGATCTTAAAACGATTATATCTAAAAGACTGTATTCCCAAATAAGGTCTCTTTCTTTCTTTCTTTCTTTATTTTTTTGAGACTGGAGCCTCAAGCTGTCCCCCTAGGTAGAGTGCTGTGGCATCACAGCTCACAGCAACCTCCAACTCCTGGGCTCAAGCGAGTCCCCTGCCTCAGCCTCCCAAGTAGCTGGGACCACAGGTGCCCGCTGCAACGCCCAGCTATTTTTTGCTATTTAATGCAGCCGTTGTTGTTTGGCAGGCCTGGGCTGGATTTGAACCTGCCACCTTAGGTGTATGTGGCTGGCGCCTTAGCCGCTTGAGCCATAGGCGCTGAGCCAGGTCATATTCACATATTCCAAATAGACATAAATTGAGAGATGCTACTCAATCCAGTACAGTAGGAAGCACCTGATCATGAAAGCCTTTATGTTTCATGGGAGGGAGTTTAGGTTTTATCCTAAGGTAGGCAAAGAAGGGCTCTTGAATTTTAGCAGAAAATAGGCATGATATTCATGTCTATGTAGAGTTGGAGGTAAGACTAGAAGCAGGGAAATTACTAAGGAAGTTATTGCATTAACACAATGGGGAGATGAGGAGAGCCCAAATTAGTGTTGTTGCACCAGTGGGGCAATAGAGAGTTGTTTAAAAACTAAAAATGTAGATGAAGAGACCTGTTAGCCTGTTCAGTAATAGCATTATTGAAAGATAACAAGGGATTAATTTAGGAAAGTGGCTGCATTAAGAGAGACAAGAGCTGTAGCAGAGATAGAAAAGAGAATTCAAGCCTCAGGATTGTTCAGATACCAACCTTTTTTCTTCTTTTTTTTTCTTTTTTTTTGCAGTTTTTGGCCGGGGCTGGGTTTGAACCCACCACCTCTGGCATATGGGGCCAGCGCCCTACTCTTGAGCTACAGGCACCACCCCAGATACCAACATTTTTATGAAATTACTTAATGGATCAATTCTTCCTCTGTTTTTCCCATGTAAGAACTTCTATCCCTATTTAGTATTTGCTCCATTCTGCCTTTGTTTTGGATATTTATGTATCTGTCTTCTACTAGGATTACAAATTCTTTGAAAGCAAAAATATGAAAATACTTTTCATATTTTATCTGTCTCCTTAGTTCATGTGCTTTTTACATTGGTAAATAACTAATAAATATGTTTTTTAAAGGTATGACATAATTAGAATCATAACATTTTATTCAGAAAGATTCTTAGAGATTTGTTTAGTCCAACCTCATCCTTTTATAGTTGAGAACCGAAACCTTTAAGGGTTAAGTGATAGCCTAGGATCTCCACACCAGCAATCTCAGTAGTTTTTCTTTTCTTTCTTTTTTTTTTTTTTTGCCGTTTTTGGCTGGGGCTAGTTTTGAACCTACCACCTCCAGCATATGGAACCAGCGCCCTACCCTTTTGAGCCACAGGCACCACCCTCTTTCTTTCTTTTTTTGAGACAGAGTCTCACTATGTCACCCTTGGTAGAGTGCTGTGGAGTCACAGCTCACAGCAGCCTCAAACTCTTGGGCTTAAGTGATTCTCTTGCCTCACCTTCCAGGTATCTGGGACTATAGGCACCCACCACAACGCCCAGCTATTTTTGTTGTTGTTGTTGTTTTAGTTGTCATTGTTTAGCAGGCCTGGGCTGGGTTCAAATCCACCAGCCCTGGTGTATGTGACTGGCACCCTAACCACTGAGCTGCAGGTGCTGAGTCCCAGTAGTTTTTTCAATAATTTATTAGCAGTAGTATTTTTAGACAAGATCTGATTCTAGTTGCCTAGGCTAGAATGCAATAGTGTCATTATAGTTCATTCCAGCCATCAATGCCTGGACGCAAGTGATCTTCCTGCTTCAGCCTCTTGAGTAGCTAGAATTACAGGATCATGCCCCACACCCAGATGATTTCTTTTCTTTTTTTTTTTTTTTTTTCAGAGATAGGAGGGTCTCACAGTATTGCTCAAGCTGGTCTTAAATTCCTGCCTTAAATTCCTTCAAGTGATCTTCTTGCCTCAGCCTCCTGAGTAGCTGGAACTACTGGCATATGCCACCATGCTCAGTTATATAAATTATTAAATTTAAAAAATTAAGACAACTAATCCCAAACCTCACAGTCCTAATATCTTTTTTTTTTTTTTTGAAACAGAGTCTCACTCAGGGCAGAGTGCAGTGGCATCATAGCTCACAGTAATCTTAAGCTCCTGGATACAAGCAATCCTCTTGCCTCACCCTCCTGAGTAGCTGGGACTACAGGTCCCACCACAATACCACCCAGCTAGTTTTTCTATTTTTTAGTAGAGACAAGGTCTTGGTCTTGTTCTTGCTCAGGCTGTTCTTGAACTTGAGCTCAGGCAACCCAGCAGCCTAGGACTCTCATAGTACTAGGATAACAGGCATGAATCACCGCCCCCGGCCTTTTTTTTTTTTTCCAGTTTTTGGCCGGGACTGGGTTTGAACCTGCCACCTCCTGCATATGGGGCTGAGCCCTACCCCTTTGAGCCATAGGCACCACCCTTTTTTTTTTTTTTAATTCGGGAACACTTAGTCTTCCTTTGGAAAAACATTAACCGTTGTCATGTTCATGTTCTTTTTCTTTATTTGTTTAATTTTCTTTGTCATGTTCTGACTGTACTATTCCCAAGATTCTTCAGTCTCCTATAATTATCTGTACCCTAAAATTCTCTATTCTTTTTACATGATAGAAATCTTGTTTCATTTGTCTTCCATCCTCTCTTTCAGTAGACAAGTTGTTTATTTCAGGGTAAGAGAATACTTCATAATACTCATAAATGCCATAGAACTGCTGCCTTTGATAGCATGTTTGGCTTTTTGATTGTGCTAATGTGTGACTCTGCCTCTAACCACATGCAGAATTGTGGACCGAAATGTTGAACCTTCATTTGGGTGATAGAATTATATTGGAAAATTATCCAGAATCCAGTATGGATCATTAATAAATGTAAAGTAGAAATAAGTACAGCTTTTTTTGTTTGATAGTTGTGTTGTTGCTGGAATTAGGAAGTGTTCATTGTATGGAAAGTTCAATGTTTTAATTATCCTTAAAAATGGAAACTTGTTATCACATAGGAACTTCTACTGGATTTATACCATCTCTACCCTTCTTGGCTTTGTTTCAGACAACAATGGGATAAATTTTTCTAAGAAGTTGTTCCCAGTATGATTTCCTCATTATTAGTGTTCATTTCATTTTGTCTACCTCATGTTCTTCCCTTGCAAGACAGAACTGTATATTTGTTTGTTTTTTCTATGTAGTGGGTTGACCACACAGGTGCTGCCTCACAGAAGAAGGCTTTCCATTCAGCAGGACTGGGACTAGAGTTCAATTCCTTTCAGCACCAGTTGCGAATCCAGGATCAAGAATTTCAAGAAGGCTTTGATGGTGGCTGGTGCCTCTCTATACATCAGCCCTGGGCTTCTCTGCTTGTCAGAGGAATTAAAAGGTAAGAACTGAGGCCAGGTGCAGTGGCTGATGCCTGTAATCCAAGCACTTTGGGAGACTGAGGTGGGCAAATCACCTGAGCTCATGAGTTGGAGATCAGTCTGAGCTAGAGCAAGACCCCAATCTCCAAAAATAGCCAGGCGTTGTGGTGGGCACCTGTAGTCCCAGCTGCTTGGGAGGCTGAAGCAAGAAAATCTCTTGAGCCCAAGAGTTGGAGGTTGCTATGTGCTATGACACCACAGCACTCTACCAAGGGTAATAAAGTGAGACTCTGTCTCAAATAAATAAATAAATGGTAAAAACAAAAATGAATCTTGGCAATAAAAAATCTTAGATTTGGCTCAGTGCCTTTTGCTCAGTGGTTAGGGTGCCAGCCACATGCACCTGGGCTGGTAGGTTTGAATCTGGCCTGAGCCTGCAAAACAACAGCAAAATAGCGGGGTGTTGTGGCAGGCGCCTATAGTCAGAGCTACTTGGGAGGCTGAGGCAAGAGAATCACTTAAACCCAAGAATTTGAGGTTGCTGTGAGCTGTGATACCATGGCACTCTACTGAGGGTGACATAATGAGACACTATCTCAAAAAAGAAAAAGAAAGAAAGAAAAATCTTAGAATGACATAAACTTGATTTAGAATTGTGGATTGAAATTAGTTTTCCCACTCTAGTAATGATTTATAATACACTTCAGTAGATAGAACTTAAAACAATATATTCATGTTACTGTGTTGGTAATAGGGTTTTTTAAAAAATATATTTAAAAATTAAAATTTTCAACTGACAAGAATTGTACTGAATAGCTTAAAAGGTAAACTGAGCTTTAAAAGATTAATGATCCAAGTCATTACCAATTATTTCATCTTTGGAAGGACATCTATTAAAAAAATTTCTCTTGGCTTTGTCTTTGTAATATACTATTCAGCAACCTTAATGGTTTGATACTATTCGAAATTTAAAGTTTTAGGCCTAGCATGGTGGCTCACACTTGTAGCATTCTGGGAGGCGGAAGCAAGTGGATCACATGATATCAGTTCGATATCAGTCTGAGGAATAGCCAGATGTTGTGGCGTGTGCCTGTAGTTCCAATTATTTGGGAGGCTAAGGCAAGAGGATCTCTTAAGCCCAAGAGTTTGAGGTTGCTGTGAGCTATGATGCCACAGCAGTGTACCAAGGATGACAAAGTGAGACTCTGTCTCAAAGAAAAAATAGGCTCGGCGCCTATAGCTCAACCGGC